ATATGTGAGTATCTTCTATTAGAAAAACCATGCAATCCTAACATCTGTGTCTGGCTCATTTTACTTAGTATTATGGTCTCAAGGTGCCTCCGTTTTCCTACAAATGACGCAATTTTACGTTTCTTTATGGCTGAGTAGACTCCACTGTGTATATATGCCATATTTTCTTTTTCTGGTCATCTGCTGGTGGATATAGGCTGCTTCCAAGACTTAGCTGTAAACACAGGGATGCGTAGATCACTGTAATATGCTGTCTTCATCTCTTTCATGAAGAGACACAGGAGCACTATCTTGACTGGGGACATAAAGGCTAGGAAGAGTTTGCACATTCTTGGCTTAGAATTTGAGGAGATTGCACAGGTGGTAACAGCTGGACCTGCAGATCTGGTGGGGAACTGGTTCTCATTCTTGAGAGGTGCTTGTGTGTGTGTGTGTGTGTGTGTGTGTGTGTGTGTGTGTGTGTGTGCATGTGTGTTGCTTTTTTACTTAGAGAAGAGGCCAGGTCCAGCAGACTTCTTTACTGTACATCTTTGTAGGGCAGCCCTTGCGAACCCTATCTGTCTTGCAGGCCCTGGCCCTGGTCCCCTGTCTCCCGGGTGGCCCTGCATCCCAGGATGCTATGAAAGTCTCCAGAGCCACTCCTCCCTGCAGTTTCTGAGAATGCAGGTGAGCGTGCTCTGCCCTTCGGGGTCTTCTCTGTCCTTGTCACCTTCACTACCCACTTTGAAAGGTCTCTTGGAAAGTCTTTGTCAGCACTCGGAGTTAGGCTAGCGGAGATGTTTTTAGGATATATTTTCTTTAATACTCCCCAAAACTCTCAGACCTAAGGCATCTATGATTGCAGCTACTCTTCTCCAGGTGATTTTCTTTTCTTACAAGCTTTTATGCTTAATGAGCAGACTGCAAGACAGCACTTCGTTGAGGCTGTAGGTGTAAAAAGAAGTTCAGGCAGGGAATCTAGATGCTTACGTAGGGATGGAATTGAGACACAGCTTAGGCACAAGGCAATCTTTACTTTCTTAATCCCCACATAGGAATTAAGGCTGCCCTTCTCCACAGCCTCCATTTTTAGCCCTCAAGTTCTCTCTGCTCCTCTCTGCGCTTTTGCTGAGTGTCCTGTCTCACCATCTCCAGGGCCTGCTTCTCAGGCTGCCTCAGGACCTTCTTCTGGCCACCTTCACGGTGACAGAGCACATGTGGACCCTCCTGGACCCGGCTCCCAGGCTGGCAACCGACCCGATGGAAACTGTTTTACTAATAGCACTGTGCCAATACTGTGGAAACACTGAGTAATTATCTCATTTAATACGGGAAACAGTCTTGTCAGGAAGTGATGATCGATTCCACAGCTCCTGGAGGAGAGAAATAAGGCTGTGCTCTGAGGCAGCAAGCTGCCCTGGATAGCGCTGGTGTGAGATGGGGAAGCCAGTTCCTCTGACAGTCAAGTGTGAGGCTCTGTCCACAGTAAGCAGCTGTCACGACTGCTGTCCTGGGCTATTTAGGCCAATGAGGAAAGTGAACCATTCTGCACTTCCTTCAGCATTTGCCACATCCATTGTCTTCAGACCAATGTCAGACTTAAAACAGCATCCATCACTCAGAGTTCAGATCGAAAGCAGCTTCCAAGTCTCCCAGGGAGGCAGGTTGAACAGTGGGATCGGAGCTTACAGTGTGAAGGAGTCAGGGCGAGAAGAAGGTAGAGCTAAAGAGATGGAGAACAGAAGGAACACTAACGATCCTGGCTGCAGCACAGCTGGCTGGATGGGCTGAGGCTGTGGGAGGACAGGAGAAGCTTCATGTATCAGCCCCAGAGGTGAGGCTGCTAGGGACAGCTCACAGAGAGGGGTCTGTGGGGAGTTTCTCCACCCTGGAAATCCACTCCTGTGGTCCTCTGCTGGGGGCTGCCTTGTGTGCATGCAGCTGCCGTTGGTTGTCAGAGGACAGCCAGGATGAGCTGGGCCACACCCCTCTTGTCTGTAGCACAGTCCTCCAAGCATAATGGTCTCTCGTCTGCCTTCCTCAAGGTCCTCTGAGCCCTGCTCCTGCCAACTCTGACCCAGAAGCACAGAGAGGGGGATTCTGGGAAACACAGTCCCTGGCCTTTGGACAGGCAGCACCATCTTGCCTGCAGATGATCTAGCACAGAGCTCTGTGGTGACTGGTACGGTTTACATCTAGATGTCCTCCCGAAGCCTCATAAATGCATAGATGAAGATGTGGGGAGGTGATTGGATCATGGTGGTGTGATGCTCACCAGTGGATTACTCTCTAGCTAAATATAACGCTGGAAGGTGAAGCCTGGGTAGAGGAGGTGGGTCACTGGGAGGGTCCATCTTCCTCCTCCCTCCTCCGGAGACAGTGACTGGGTGACCCTCTAAATGTGTGGATACAACATGAATGCATCTTTAAAGTGCAGCACTCCCTTTCAAATAAAAAGAAATCAATGAATGCAGCATTTAGCAATGTTTTTTTTTATTATCTGCAGTCATGACATAAAATTTAATACAATTTTTGAATGTAGGTCCAGTATTACCAACAGGCTGGTTGTCAAAAGGCGAGACAGGCCTGCTGTTGTCTAAGAAAAACTGAAGAGATACACGTTAGAAGACACCTTGATACCTTCACTTTCAGACGCATGATGCTCCCAGTCCAGAAACTTTTAAACGAGTGTCCGCTGCATCTGAGGAGATCTAGGAAGAGGCCTATTCAATTTAAAAGTGTTACTAGAAGATGTTCCAGTAATGTTTTTCTTATTTGTACTTATAGCCTATCAGTCTTTTGTGTCCTTTACTTTTTTCCCTTTGAATGTCCTCAATAATTTGGTCATCAAAGAAACAAGCTCTGATTTCCTTTTTGCCAGAGGGAAGCTGTCTTAGCAACTACATTTATCGCAAACATTCACCTGTCACACACCTGCATCTGGTTAATGGCAAGAGCTGACCATATATCATGTTGACAAGGCAAGAAAAAGCATCAGAGATAGAGAATAAGTCCCAAGGTCTCCTTCACTTTCTACTGCCTTAACAAAAAATAGGGACTAAGTACTAGACCCTTCCAATTAACATCTCATTGACATTTCTGGGAATATTTCCTATTTGCTAAGTCCCGTTTTCTGATGTGGAGAAATTTCTGACTTGTATTTAGATTTACTTTTCAGTGAGGAAGAATCGCTTTAAACCCAAAGTTTAACAAGTCATTAAGAAAAATGACAATACCTGTGACAGCAAGTGTGGGTTTGGGCGGTTCCTCTCTCCACAGAAACATGGGCACAGTGCCCTCTGGTGGACACAACGGAGACAGCACGCTCCAGGCTTACAGCAGCGGAGGGCTTCAACGGAGGAAAGCTCATCTTGTTTCGACTGGAGGTAGATGTCAGTGTCTTCCCCAGAACTATAACAGAGGTAATATGAAAAATACGTCTTCCTCTGCATACTTCCTCTCCAATCCATTTTCTTCATATTTATTTTTATTATTTTTAAATTATGTATTTATTTATTTTGCAGTATCGGGGATCGAACTCAGGACCTTGCACTTGTGAGGCAGGCGCAACGCCGCTGAGTTACATCCCCGGCCTCCCCTTTTCTCATACTGATCAGGAAATTCACTCATGAAAAGTTTCAAATGTTTCTGGCTTTTTCACCCAACCCACTGTTCCTGGTTCCCCTCTGCCTCCAGGACCAAACCAAGAGCTAACTGGGCAGACACAGCCCCTCAGGTGTGGAGTTACTGCGGGCCTCACAGAAAGCACGGTGCTCGGTGCTCGGTGCTCTGTGCTCTGTGCTTGGCGCTGATTTCCTGAAGCACCCTCCAGCGGAATCCCTAGGTGGGATCCAGGAATTGTTCTCAGGAGCTCGCAAAGACCAAAGCCCACCAACCTTCACTAAATCCCCTACCTACACCATCTTTCTTCAATGAAGACACATTTTTATTTGAATGTAGAAATTTACTTTTTTCAACACATAATTTTTATAAAAATAAAAAATGCAAATATTCATCTATCCAATGGAAACATCTCCTACAATTCTCTGCTTATCCCCAGGCTCCATACACAGGAGTACAAAGTGGTCACTGTTCACAGATGCTGTCCTAGCCCCACAGGGCTTCTTTCTGCAGAATTATGTATTGCCAGCCTGGACTGATGGCACATGCTTGTAATCTTAGCATTCTGGGAGGCTGAGGCAGGAGGATCTAGAGTTGGAGTCCAGCCTGGGCAACTTAGCAAGGCCTTATCTCAACACAGAAATAAAAAAAAAAGACTGAGAAGGCAGTAAGAAGGTCCTAGTACTGAAAAAAGCAAAAATAAAAAAAAAAATCACCATTTTCTGGTTTTGTACAAAAGGTAACATACTACACAAAGTATAGTGTAATATACAAAATTTGAGCTTTGTTGCAATGCATCTTTTAGCTCCTTTCTTATCAGCGCATACGCATAATCCTCACATATTTTTAAAAGCTGTATTTTACTACTTTCTGTGGAAGTGCCACAATTTCTAATCAGCCCCCTACTGATCAAAAGGTTCCCTAACCTTTTGCTACTGACCCAGTGCTCTAATGCCTGACCTTGTGTGCAGACAGGCGTGTGCCAGTGTATCTGCAGGAACAAATTCCCAATGAGGAATGGGTAGGTCAAAACTAACTTCGTAATTCTGACAACTACCACTAAGTATTGCGGCACAATTTGCAATCATAAACTGCACTTGCTTTCAGTATACCAACTCGGTGGTTCTTCCCAACCATAACAAAACGCCCTTGATCTTTGCCCACGTGCTCCTGACCTTAAAGTTGGGGGAGTGGCGTTTCCTGAGTGGCGGGAGGGCCTTCTGTCACTATTCATCGTAAGACTCTTTCCTGGCCCCTGAGTTTGTCCTGGTCAGGTTCCTCAGGCGCAGCTCCCGGCTGGTTTTGGGATAGCGAAGATCTCCGGGGACTGAAGGAACTAGGGACTGGACCCACGATTGACTCCTACATGAATGTATTTATTTAGGGTACCGGGAATCGAACTCGGGTCCTTGAGCATGTGAGGCAGGCGCTGGAACCACCGAGCTAAATCCCCGGCCCTCCATGATTGTTTTCAATGGAACCCACATAAAAACTCTGGGCCAAGGGACACAGGGAGCTTCTGGTAGGTGACACATCAGCATCGCCCAGGAAGGGCACGGAAGCTCTGTATCCCCTTATCTCACCACTCAGCTGTTCCTGAGCTGTAGCCTTTATCATAAGACTGTAACGGAAATACGGCACTTACATGAGTATTTCCAGGGAATTGCTGAACCCGAGGGGAGCCGCAGGAACCCCTAAATGTGTAGTCGGTAGGGCAGAAGTGCAGCAGTCGGGGGAGCCTGGGCTGTGATGTGTCAGAAGTGGAGACAGCCTTCTGGGGTTGCGAGAGCCCCATGGTGGCCGAGCGCACACAGTGCTGTTGCCGTGGGCATGAGGGATCTCACAGGCCGATGGACTCGGAAAGCGAGGCCTGGAACACAGATCGCGTGGCTCCTGAAGAGCGCCTTGCACTGTAACAAATCTCAAGCTCTCCCTTTCAGAATTTGTCATACATTTTTAAACTACGGACCTACGGAAAAGAGAAACGCTATGTCTTGTCTTCGATCCCTCGGGTGCAGATCTGCATCCCGCCTGGGGAGAAGGAGCCCTGAATCGTCTGTGGGCCGCTTGGCATCTGAGAGTCCAGCCCCAGGGCCGATTTCCCAGTTACAGAAGCGAAAACGTTCGCGTTTTGGACAAAAGCCGGTTCGAGTTGGACTTCTTACCTCACAGCTGAAAGCCCCAGTTACTGCGAAGGGCCCGTTACCCAATTCCTCTTCCGGAAGCAGGAGAGCTACTTTGTGGTATCCGAAATACAGTTTCGCGGAGCGGCAAAAAACACACCGGCCGGCTGGCGGCGCCCGCGGGCCTCTCCAGGCCTCTGCCCACCCGAGCGAGCTGGAAGCTCCGGGAGCGGCAGGGGATTCCGAGCCCTGCAGGGGGCGCTGTGAGCTCCTCAGCTCTGCCTTCGGCTCGGCCTCTCACACCGCGCTGGGAGCACCGTCCGAGGTCGCAGGTAAAAAGAAAACGCGTCAGCAGAGCATTGCTGTGTCTCGAAATCCGTGGGAAGCCTCGGGGACGTTTTCCTAGGGCTCCAGAGCCGCGCGGGTGCGCCGAGGTCTCAGTGCTGTCTTCTTCTCCGGAGAGAACGCCCTTCGGAAGGGCTCCTTCTCCAGGCCCGCTGACGGCCACACCTGACCCCGCTGCCCGCCTGCTTCTCCATCGAGGCGCCTTCCCTTGCTCCGCGAGGTCGGGACGCGCAGTAGCCTGGTGCCCAGTGGCCGGGGCCGCTGGGCTGAGGGGAGGGGGTGACGAGAAGCCCCCCAGGGCCGCGGCACCGCCCCGGGGCTACACTGTGAGGCCGGCGTTTTCGCAAATGAAAATCTTTTTTGAGATTGAAAACTGTATCTTCACTGTGGTTGTGAATACATTTGTATTTATTTTTGCCATCTTATTTTGTTATTTCTGTTTGTAACACTTTTCATGTGTTTCTTTTTCTCACCGAGGTCTTCCGGATTCTTTTGCAACCTACCATTTATAGTTTCCGTTCTATTTTTTATTGTTTTAGTGCTTTTCTTTAAAGTTTTGTATGCAATTTAATGATGCTCTAAGTAGAGTGAAATCTATTGATTCTGCCCCCAAATCCTTTAATTCCAATCTCTTCCTCCCAGTTGACAGACACCTTATTATTTTCCATTTCTTTGGTTCCACCTCTTAAAGTGGGAAATAGCTCAGTTTTTTTAAAAATGGATACATAAAATATGTAAAATTGCTGTGTACTTCACAGCTAAATTTCTATATTCAATATCTAATTGCAGTAATTGAAATTCTGCAGAGACCTAGAATTTCTGCTAAGTCTTACTCATGATATCTTGTATGTTGAAACACTTGGTAACTTTTAAAGTATAAGCCCACATCTGATAACCTGCAGAACTGACTGAGGGTATTTCTTTCCTTCTGGAAAGAATGTCCCTGTGTCCCAGGGATGTCACTCCTGCCCACGGTTCCCAAGTCCAGGTTTGGAGTGACCGAGTGGGGAATGTGATTTGCAATAAGAGATCCCCACAAGACACCACTACCTTCCCAATCCCCTGGTCCTTAATCCTCCCCCCCAGAAGCCATGTTGTTTTTATGCGTGATATTATAGAATGTTAGATGTTCATTTGGGGGAACCTATACTGGTTTTAAGCTTTGGTAGAAACGCTGGACTTTCAATTAGCATGTTGAGAGTTGCAGACCATGGGAAGGGGAAGGTAGGCTCTGGTCTACACCAAGTAGGGAACTCAACTGGAGACTCCTCCCACATAGCCAAGTCACTCAAGAGTTACATTCCCAGTGAAAGTGGAGGCTGGGGAAATCTGCCCTCAGCAAAGATACCAATAAAGAACTGTTGGTGAGGAAAATGATGGTAAGAATAATAACTTCGCCCTAAGTATCCATACTCATAGGCCTGCTCTTTCAGGATCTGAAACACCCTAGATGACAACCCACAGTGCCCTCCTCTAGCATCTCTGTGGGTCACACAGTGCCCACCCCTTCTCCACCAGCAGCTTCTCCACAGTCCAAGCCCACCACAGCCCCTCCTCACTCTCTCCCAGCAGGTAAGGTCTGTAGTGTTGATTTGTTTGTCATTTAATATGTGACTGTAACTATTAACATCTTATAAGAAATAGGGTTGTATTCATCCCTAGGTCATGAGAGTGCTGTGGTGGGCTATTATGGTAGATGTCCCCCAAGGGCCTCCTGGATTTTGGGTGGTGCTGTGGCTGCCTTGTTAGGAGATGAAGTCTGGTCAGAAGAAATAAGTCACTAGGGGCTTACCCTGGAAAGGCTTTCTCTCTCTCTCTCTCTCTCTCTCTCTCTCTCTCTCTCTCTCTCTCTCTCTCTCTCTCTCTGTCTCCTTTTTT